CTGATGTTGCTACTCCTCCTTCGATTTTTACATAGTAAAATTATCAATTATGTCAAGTTGGATTGTGTACTTACAGGAGAAGCTCTATGTCCATGTTTGTCGATAAAAAGGATAACATTTTTGAGCCTGTAAATGCTCCAGCTGCTTCAATTACATTTATAGTGTATGAGAATGTATTAATTATGCTGAAATTCAGGAGGAAAGATTAACGATTTTACTTTTTATTAATTTTCTTGGGGTCCATCTTCCTTAACTGAAATTCTTTTTGTAGCATTACCATAGTGAAATTTGTAGTGTTAAAGTGCGAAAAAAGGAAATATAGGACTCTAGTTGCAATGACAAGTTGGTTGATTATGTATAATCTGATGTGTTTACTGTTAACATCCCATTTTTATCTTGGTTGACTGGTGATGCGGGTGAATGGTTAGACAAGAAATTGGAAACATTATGTTTTCAGAGCTTATCATGTGGAGAAATGTGACGCCAATTTGTGATAGTATTTAGTGAGTTGATGAGGTTGAAGACTGAAGAAAAAAATAAAACCCAAGGACCTTACAATGGCTATAATTAACATATACTCTAAACAATAGAAAAATATTACTGCAAATAAAGTAATAGATGCTTAGTACTTTCAGTTATTTGAATCTAGTTATGATTTGTTAATTATTCAGAAAATGCAGTGAATCATTTTGGATATTTTGGTACAGAATTTAATAGTTCAGTTTTATGAACCATGAGTATAAGCAGTTTACCAACCTAGTGTTGTCTGTTGCATAGGGTTTTTGAATCCAATCTCTTCTATAGATTGTGTATGATGTAAGTATGTGAATTGCAATATTGTAATGTCTTGTTCAAGTATTATACCTCTAGAGACTTAAAAACTTCCAGTTACACGGGGCATAAAATATTCCATTTATACATTTATATAATAATTTCTTGACCTTTATTTAAGATCAAGAATCTTTATTTTAAATAAATTTGGATGGCTTGTATGAATTCTTTTCGTCTTTCTATTTGTTTGATCATTACATAGAAATTTGGTAATGCAACTGGTATTTCATAATATTTGGTTTCTTGTTTATTTGTATAGATATGAATGTGGATGTGGATATGGATATGGATAGAAAAATGAAACTCCTTCAACAACGAATTTAGAAAAAAGTGCTATGCCTCTTCATCCACTTCCACAATCATGTTTAGAGAAGAGGAAACATAGGAAATCTTCAAATGTATGGGAACACTTCACTATTATACGAGATCCGAAAGATAAAGATGTTAGGTGTACATGCAACTGTGGGCAGAATTATGCTTGTGGGGCTAGAAAGTGTGGGACTAGTACCTTAAGGAATCATTTGATTCTTCATTGTAAAAAGTATCCGGAAGGATAGAAGATAAAATGCAAAAAAGTCCAACTAAGGGTGATGGGAACAATCTTATAGTTGTTAGCTTCAATAAAGAAAAATGTAGACTTGCATGTGCTAAGATGATAATAATTAATGAGCTAACTTTTAGCTTTGTTAAAGGTCAGGGGTTTAGACAATTTTGTCAAATAGCATGTTTGAATTTTGATCCTTCTTCTCGTAAGACTATTGTTACAGATATTTATCAATTGTATTTGAATAAAAAATTGCAATTGAGAAAGATCATCCAACGTCAAAGAGTTTCTCTTACTACTAATACTTGGAGTTCTATTCAAAACTTTAACTATATGTCTCTTACTTCACTCTTTGTTGATTCTGGTTGGAAGCTTCAAAAACAGATTTTAAACTTTTGTGTGATTGCTAATCATAAAGGTGAAACCATTGGTAAAGCTATTGAGAAAGCGTTTACAATCACGGTTAACAATGCATCTGCAAATGAAATGGCCATTTTTTTATCTCAAGAGGAAGATGATTGGTAGGAGTAGGGATGAATGTGTTTTGGATGGAAAATATTTGCACACGAGGTGTTGTGCACATATTATTAACTTGATTATATGTGAGGGATTGAAGGAAGCGCATGCATCAATTATTAGTATTCACAATGCAGTAAAATATGTTAAATCTTCTCCTACTAGAGAACAAAAGTTTAAGGAGTGTGCGAGTCAAGAAAAAATTAATTGTAAATCACTTGTGTTTTTGGATGTACCAACTAGGTAGAGTACAACATATTTGATGTTGGAAGCCGCTTTGAAATTCCAAAAAGCATTTGAAAGGTTAGAAGAGGATGATGTGCAATATTTTAATTATTTTCAGGAGTATGATGGCGGTAAAAGAAGGGGTGAACCTCCTAGAACTTCTGACTTGGAAAATGTTTCTGTTTTTGTGAAGTTCCTCCAGGACTTTTATGAAATAACTTTGAAATTTAGTACTTCATTGCATGTGAGCTCTAATGTTTATTTTCATGAAATATGATCACTTATAAGCAAATCTGAAGAATGGAGTAAAAGTGATGATTATCTTTTGAGTGATATGGCCATTAACATGAAAAAAATTGACAAGTATTGGGGGAAATGGAAAATGTTAACCAGTTGTTGATTGCTACTGTACTTGACCCAAGGCATAAATTGGAGTATACTGATTTTTGTTTTGGTGATATTTATGAGGATAAGGAAATTGCTCGTAATATGACAAATATCTTGAAAGACAATATGGTGTCTATTGACGATTGGTATGTGAAATGTGAAGCAAGTTCTAAAAGCAATCAAGTATCTAGTGATATGAATTCTTCAAGTGGGGTTTCTTCTACTAAAGAAAGTCATACTTCAACGGTTTCTCAATCGTGTTTCTAGGTTTAAGAGAAAAAGAAGTAGCAAAAGGTTTGCTTGAACTTAAAAATGATGTTGATAGATACTTGTTGGACGCTTATGAAGATATAGAGGATAGTGATTTTGATGTTCTTAACTGGTGGCGACTTAATGGAAATAAATACTGTACTTTGTCCAAACTCGCAAGAGACGTTATGACAATGCAAGTGTTTACAATGGCTTCAGAAAGTGCTTTTAGTACTGGAAGAAGAATCCTTGATCCATTTCGTAGTTCTTTAACCCCTAGGATTGTAGAGATTTTGGTGTGTACCTAAAACTAGCTTAAAGAATTTTCAATAATGGAGAGATTTTATATGGAAGATATTGAGGCATATAAAAAATTGGACGAAGGTAATATAATTATAGTTATTCCATGAATTATGTTAAATAATTGTGTTTTATATAATTTAGTGTTAATTTAATCTTCTTCTTTTTTGTAGAGCTTTTGGAATCAGAAAAATCAAATGAAGGCTAAATTCAAGTTATTCATGCATTTATGATTTTTTTCAAGTAGATGTATAACTAACTAGCTTTGTCATTATATTATTAATATTTTTCTCTAAGCGTTTATATTATTTTGTAGGAATGCTACTTAAAGCTATGCGAGAATCGAAGATTATAATACTCCACTTTATTGTTTAATTTTTTATAAGTTTGAATTTTGGATTAATATTATTATTTTTTATTTATTAAATTTGGATTACTGTATATTTTTAAGTGTTGGTTGAATGTAATATTTTAGTATTTACTTTTCACGATAAATGATAATTTTTAGTGTGTTTGATTTTATTAGTATGATATTAACGTGCAGGAAAATAATTATTTGAGATGTACGCTTTAATTTTTGTTTGTGAAAAAATTCAAATTATAAATCTATTCTTAGTAAAAATTTGTGATTTTCAATTTTAGTTGATTGTGTTGTATGAATGATAAATATTATTTTATTGAAAATTTTTTTATTAAAATGACAAAAGTATTATTTATATTCAAGTCAATTACTGCTGCAAAAAAAAAAAATAGTGCACTGAATAAAATGACAAGTATTATTTATATTCAAAGTATTATTTAGGGTAGGAGTCGGGTCGGTTTTGGGCCAAACCCGACCTGACCCAATGCCCACCCTATATCCAAAGTGCACTGAATAAACCAATTACGTAAGGATCAAACTAAAACCCTTCAGTCGATTTACCAGGAATTTGTTGCTAGTTCGGGCTGTAGTATGTTGTATACCTTCTCCTTCTAGTTTTAAATAATTAACAAAATACTTCGTCGAAAATTCATCACTAATCCATCGCTAAAAATGACGAATTTAATCTTCTTGCCGAAATATCATCGCTAAAGCCGCAGTTTCTATTAATGTTAGGTACACACTACGTGTTGTAGGAATCACTCAATATATTTCAAATTCATTATTTTCAAATTATAAAGTTGCATGCTTAATAACCAATATTTCTAAAGTGAAGTATGCTTAAAATAGGAAACTAACTTATGAATCTAGAATAATGTTATCTAACACCAGTAGTCATAGAGCACCAATTTAGACGGCCACCCATGATAGGTGCAATTAAATGGATGTCTTGACTTACATTTAAATGAACCTATCATTTAATGGCATCTAATTGCCACCTAAATTGGCGTAAAGCGCCAGCATTATTCATGAATTTATGCCTTCGAGTAACCGTTAACAAAAAGTCAAAACTCGTAGATCGCTCTCCTGGCATGTCGGCATTTTTGGAGATCCAACCCACTCACTGGTAACAGCATATGAATGGCAATAAACTAAACTAATAGGAATGAAAAAGATAAACCCAAATGACAAATTCATTAAACAAAGTAAATTTATTTAGAAATTCAGACTCACCCACATGGAATCCCATGCCGACGTCCATTTCTCCAGTGTACTTCACCTCGTGCTCTCCATTATTCACACTTCTTGAGGAGTTTTTTAATGAAACCACTATCTCTTTTTTTGTATGTGTGTGTGTATGAGAGAGAGAGAGAGTTATATGATAATATTCATATATGTGGATGAGTGTTCATTAATAAGGTGGGGGGACGGGACCTTATGATCTTAGTGTAACTATAAATACATCCAATTGTTGATCGGTTGGTGCATGCATGCATTTATATGTATCTATATATTTAAGAATATATAGGTGTGTGTAGGCCGTTGTCTTCCTTCTTTGATTGGTCAGGATTCTCAAAATATCCAAAAATGGACAAGTACGAGGTTGTGAAAGAGTTGGGAGCCGGAAATTTTGGCGTAGCCAGGCTTATGAGACACAAAGAAACCAAGGAGCTTGTCGCCATGAAATACATCGAGCGTGGACACAAGGTGTGAGAATAAGACTTAATTTGTTGTTATATCGTTTCGATTTCTTGCTTAATGATCTGATCCATGGTATTATTTGGTTGCCAGATTGATGAAAATGTGGCCAGGGAAATTATTAACCACAGATCACTAAGACATCCCAATATAATTCGTTTCAAAGAGGTTAATTAATCGGAGTTTCGACTTTTTTATGGATGTATGATGTTTTGTTATGGCTACAAGTAAAAAATAAAAAAAAATTGCAGGTCGTTTTGACGCCAACACATTTGGGTATTGTTATGGAGTATGCAGCTGGTGGTGAGCTTTTCGATCGAATTTGCACTGCTGGTAGATTTAGTGAAGATGAGGTCAGTTGATCCAAAAATACTTAATCCGCATGCATAAGAAGTTTCATTTATTAATTTCCTTGCATTTGCATTTATTTTTACAGGCTAGGTACTTCTTTCAACAGTTGATCTCGGGAGTCTCTTATTGCCACTCCATGGTATGCCATCACTCTTTCCTGATAACTCGTTTTGAGCTTCTAGACGGAATAAATGGCTCGTTTCAACATGGTTATTGTTTGAAATGCTAATTTGCCGTGGCAGCAAATATGCCATAGAGATTTGAAATTGGAGAACACACTTTTAGATGGAAGTCCAGCTCCCCGCCTCAAAATCTGTGATTTTGGTTATTCCAAGGTAACCAAATCTATATTTCCAATGAATTATATACATAATATAAGTTGTTTTATGAATCATAAGTAATTAATTGAGATGGTATTATATTGTGGTGGTATAGTCATCAGTGCTGCATTCAATACCAAAATCCACAGTTGGAACTCCAGCATACATAGCACCAGAAGTTCTCTCCCGCCGAGAATATGACGGCAAAGTAATTCTTTCCTCTATCCCTTTACCTTTTTAACAATTCTGGTGACAATTATATAATCATTGAGCTTACAAATCGAAGTTTCATGCTAGTAATTTAGAGGTTTGCCCTTTGTGTTTCGATTCGGTGACTTGGTTAAACATCTCTATTGAAATGTCCAATATGGAACACGACATCTTGATATGACAAAAAGAAAGTAAATTCTAGCGGCCACTTTGTAACAAAATAAAGTTCGATAACTGATGCGAAACTTGGTAGTAAGATAATTGACTGCATTTTTTTTTTAAGTTTTAACAAGAACATGCTGTGACTGACACAAATTATTGTATACAATGACATAGTTGGCAGACGTATGGTCATGTGGAGTGACACTGTATGTCATGTTGGTGGGAAGTTACCCTTTTGAAGATCCAAAAGACCCCAAGAATTTTAGAAAAACTATTTCAGTAAGTGTGCCTATCATAATCCAATTATATTCAATATCTTGTATATCTCATAATAATAAATTATCAAGTGTTTTTTTTCTCACTTAATTTCTTCTCATTCTGCAGAGAATAATGGCGGTTCAATACAAAATCCCAGATTATGTTTATATTTCTCAAGATTGTAGACACCTACTTTCTCGTATTTTTGTTGCCAATTCTTTGAGGGTAACTTCTTTTTTTCATTTTTTCCTTAAATACCGTTTACTGTCTACCGGTGTATGATTTAATATACGAAACACGACCTAATTCTATAAACGATCACTTGCAGAGGCTGACAATAAAAGACATTAAGAACCACCCATGGTTCTTGAAGAACTTGCCAAGGGAACTCTCTGAATCAGCTCAGGCTATCTACTATAAGAGAGATGATCCAAGCTTTTCCCTTCAAAGCATTGAAGAGATAATGAAAATTGTTGGAGAGGCTAGAAACCCTCCTCCGGCATCAAGGCCGGTTGCCGGATTCGGGTGGGGAGTCGAAGAAGAAGAAGAGTACGAAGGAGAATTAGAAGAGGTGGAAGAAGAAGATGATGAGTACGATAGGCAAGTGAAGGAAGTACATGCAAGTGGAGAATTTCATGTCAATTGAAACTTTGATTTAGCAAGGATCGCAACATTGAATTCGAAGTTCTGATTGTGTAGTATGCATAGTTGTACGATATATAAGCACAGACATTGTTTAAGATGCAAGAGGATTTACTTATTTGAACTTTTTCAATATGTCAAGTTTAATTATTCTTATTGATAATTCTGTCAATACTTCATATTTTTAAAAACTTCGAAAATAAGTAGAATAGATAAGTAAATAAGAATGGTACATAATAAGTGTGTTTTGTGCATTTATTCGGACTAAGGTTTTATGTCGTTAAATTATTGAATTTTATTTAATTTGAGTTAACTTTTATATTGTTTCATTTATGAACTCGTTTTGAAGCATTTGGAAAATAAGGATAAATTGGCCATTGGATGGAAAGTTTGGAGATAAAATTCCACACTTTGAAAATTAAAGGACTTGAATTAAATTAAGGAAGACATGGGTGGCACAAATAAAAGGATTCAAGGACTGAATTCTATTATTTTGAAAGATGGAGGACTAGAAGAAAAATATAGCATTAATGGGATTCAACTTGGAATTGCATTTGGAATCAAATTCAATTGGCACTGGATTTTTGTTTGATTCTCACGTCCACAATTTTCCCATCGATGTGGCATTGGTGCATTATATAGCAATCTTCCCACCGCTGATGCGGTAATACCATGTCAACGGTGCATTTATTGTTTTTTGACTATGTATTTACTTTTCCTCCCGCAGCCCGCCCCGCCACCTTTGCCTTTTTACCAACCCACCCTCTACACTCGCTCCTTTATCCCATATAAATATTTTTCCTAATTTTTATGTCAATTGTCAATATCATTATGGGAAGTCCAACAAAATCGAAATATTACATTTTAATATTATTTCAAAGTTCTTCGGGCTAGTTTCCCATATCATTGACGGTGCGCAAAACGACCAACCTTAGAAGAGCTATGATACCTTAAAGTACGTTGTTCCCAACTAATATTTCGAGAATTTCGATAACATGTTAACTGTGAAAATTCGTTGACGATTATACTCTAGTTGAATCCACAAATCGCCTATGTCACTTTGAAGCTCTTTTGGAGAATTATAACGTAGACATATCAAATGGTCTAAATGAATATCGTTTGGACAACGAAAATAATTAAACTAACGTCTCAAAAAGAGATGCATAACTCGTATTTTCTTTAAAAAGATTTCAATTATTTCATTAATATTTATTATTTTTGTACGACAAATTTTTTTAAATATAATTTATATTATTTTATGAGAATATTTTTACATAGGTATGATGTCAAAAAATTTCGAGCCATCACACAAAATATAATAAATTAATATTTAATAAGGTTCAGTTCGATTTATTTTTTTTTTCTTTTAATTCCTTATTTTTATTTTATTAATTTGTTCTAATAAGAAAAAAATAATTCGAACTTGAACCTTATTCAATATTAATTTATTACATTTTGTGTAATGATTCAAAAAATTTGACGTCATACCCATGTAAAAAAATTCTAATAAAATAATATAAATTATAATAAAAAATTTGTCACAAAAATAATAAATAGTAATGAAATAATTTAATTTCTTTAAAGAAAAAACGAGTTATGCGTCTCTTTTTGAGATGCTCGTTTAATTATTTTTTATGTCGAAAGGAAGTTCGTTTGAACTGTAAGATATGTTTACAATATAGTTCTCAAATGAGTTTCAAGGTGACATAGACGATTTGTGGATTTGGCTAGCTAACATCGTCAATGGATTTTTAAAGTTATTATGTTATTGAAATTCTCAAAATACTAGTTTAAAACGATCTATTTTGACGCATCATAACTTTTGCTAAAGTTAGTTGTTTTGTGCTTCGTTAAGGATACAAGAAATTAGGACATGAGCAATTTGAAATAATATTAAAAATATAATGTTTCGATTTCGTTTGACATCCCGCAATGATATCGAAACTGGAAAATCATTTATATGTGATAAAAGGGGCAGGTGTAGGGGTAGATGGGTAAAACCGGCAAATGTGATGAGGCAAGGTGCAAGGAGAAAAACAAATGTATACAGTCAAAAAACAATAAATGCATGCCACATCATCGTTTAAAAGATTGTTATCGTGTCTATCGTGGGCAGGAGAACGGTCTGTACACACACATGCATACAATGGCAGTTGAGAAGAAAAAGGGGAAAAAAGTTGTTGCTTTTGGGAATTAAAAGGGAATATATATTTACACGCAAAGATAACAAATGGCAGCAGCTAAAGAAATAATTTCAAATTTTTCTATGCAGTAATTAGGGCTGTCAATGGATTGGATTTTGATCCAAATCCGACGAAATTAATGGGAGATGGATTTAGGGTCTCAATTCGATAACCCGATCAAGAACTGAATCCGATAATCCGTCCACTAAATGGATCAAATATGGATATAGATCGATCCGATCCGATTTGTTATAAATAATTGAGTCGGTAAAATATTTTTATAACATATTATTTGTCACTAAAATAAATAAATTTATAATAAAAAAGTAATCAAATTCAAAACATAAAAAATTTGAAAAATTTATAAGGGAAAATTGCGGCCGTGGTCCCAACCTTTCATTTTGTTGCAGATTACACCCAAACTTTTTATTTTTACGGTTGAAGTCTTAAACCTTTATATGTAGTTGCAGCGTCGGTCCCAAGCCTTTAATTCCGTCCATAAAACCGTCAGTCAACGTTTCAACGGTAAGTTTGACTCGAAAAAATGCAACGCTGATCCCAAACCTTTCATTTTGTTGCAGATTACACTCAAACCTTTAATTTTTGCGGCCGAAGTCTCAAACCTTTATATATAATTACAGGGTTGGTCCATTTCACGCATTCCATCCATAAAATCGTCAGTCAACGTTCAAACAGTAATTTTAACTTAAATGACATCTTAATTTATGGGCAAAATTGTCAAAACAAGTTATCCAAAAAAAATGTTTGTTTTCTTCAAATCCATCAATCTTTTCACAGATATCACATTCTTATCATCGATAATTATCTAATCACATAACAATTCGATCCGATTTGTTATAATAATCGAATCGATAAATTATTTTTATGACATGTTATTTATCACTAAAATAAATAAATGAGAAAATAAAAATAAATAAGCTACATTTGATACTATACAAATTATAGTACTAAATGCAGTTTGTTTGTTTTTATTTTCCCATTTATTTATTTTAGTGACAAATAACATGTCATAAAAATAATTTATCGATTCAATTATTATAACAAATCGGATCAAATTGTTATCTGATCAGATGGTTATCGATGATGAGAATGTGATGCATGTAAAAAGATTGAAGGATTTAAAGAAAACAAACATAATTTTTGGATAACTTATTTTGACAATTTTACCCTTCAATTCAGATGTCATTTGAGTTAAAATTACTGTTTCAACGTTGACTGGCGATCTTATGGACGGACATGGACCAACGCTGTAATTATATATAAAGGTTTGGGACTTCTACCGCAAAAATTAAAGGTTTGGGTGTAATCTGCAACAAAATGAAAGGTTTGGGATCAGCGTTGCAATTTTTTCGAGTCAAAATTAATGTTGAAACGTTGACTGACGGTTTTATGGACTGAATTAAAGGCTTGGGACCGACGCTGCAACTACATATAAAGGTTTGGGACTTCAGCCGCAAAAATAAAAGATTTGGGTGTAATCTGCAACAAAATAAAAGGTTTGGGACCACGGCCGCAATTTTTTCAATTTATAATTATTAAACATGTTTAAGAATTAAAAAATTTGAAAAAAAATATTGATTTCAACTAATGTTTTAAAAATCAACCCCGAGCATTGACCTGGGAAAGGAAGATGGTCATGGTCAAAAAGTCGAATCGGTATCGAACGGTTGTCAAATTGAATAAATAATTATACACATAAATGTAAAATATTATAAAAATAATACATTTTAGTTTAGAACTTTAAAGTAAATAAATATCTATGTTTTTCTTAATTAAATTTATTATTGTAATTTATTATACAACTTCAAAAACTAACAATTATTATATAACAAATAATTTGATTTGTTAATTGAAATAATGAAATAAAATATTTATAATTAGAATTGAAATTCAATTTTACCTTATCCCACATTGAATGTCAATATAAAACTAGAAGGTGATCTCTCCTTTAAAAATGAATATCGTAATGGTAGAAGTCACTATTGGGCTTGCTAGTAAAAATAGGTGAGCCTTAAATTAGTTCAAAAAAATTTTCAACATTGATTTTTTTCCCTAATTTTTATTAATTTCGGATCGGATTATCGGATCGAATATTCGATAACATAGCAAATTGGATATAGATTTAACAATCAAATATTCGTTGGATTATCGGATCGAATCGAATAATTTTCTTATTAAATCGGATCAGATATAGGCAGATTCGATCCATTTACAGGTCTACCAGTAATTCATCAACAATTTGTGCAAGAAATTTGGATATTAATCAAGTTCCATCAATTTTTGTTGATGTCATTCCATTTTTATGTGTTTAATTTCGATATTATGAGTAGCTAAATAATTTTTGTGCTAGGATTACGACAAACCTTGTACCATGAACTTTTAACTCTTGATTTTATTTATTTATTACATTCAAAGCACTTTTCCAATTCTTGAATAATTGACATAAATTTATTTTTATCTGCAATTACTTGATCACTAATTGCATGAATATCGTGGCTTGTTTTACCCTAAAAAGATGGAAAATAAGTTAGATATAGTGTCAATTGTCATATAGTCCGATAGGGATGGAACTGTAAGCTATACCTTACGTGATCTTTAAATATTCATAAATATTTAATACATTTTTATATATTTGCATCTATCATGGGAATATAATTGGGTCACATGTAAATATAAGTTTAATTCTACTCGAGAGAGATTATTAAAGATATTAGGAATATTGATTTTCATAATTGAATCGCGTTGTCAAATTGAAAGGTTCGGGTTGAAGAGAATTGATATAGGGGATTCAGGATCCTAG